GTGTACAGGTGGGTGCGGCGGGATGGACAGGCGGATTGTCTTAAAAAACCGTGCTGAAGTTTAGGAATGGTGGGCGAGCGTGAGAACGACAGGGTGGGTTGACTTGTTTCCGCATGCCACAGGATTTTCATTGACGTAGACCACATGGATTCTCACAAGAACTTATGCTGGAGATGTGGCGAATTTTCGTAGGAATGCAAGAGGAGAGGTGCCGAATTTTCGCGTCATTTCTCCTGAACAGCTGACTCTGCTTTCCTCAGGGCCAGTATAGGGGAGGATACGCCGATGGGTCACGTGATCATGAAGATCACTGCGGAGGATATGGATGAGTCGCGTCACAACCGCAACATCGACTACTCCTTCGTCAGTGGCAACGAGGACGGCATGTTCCAGATAGCCAGGTAGCGCACGGTCATGGAACAAAGTGTTCTGTCTATCGCAGATGGCAACATTTGTTTGGGAATTTCGAGTCAAAATGTGCGCAGGGCCCAGCCACATGGAATACAGAATGCTTTCCAGTAGATCGACAAATTCGAAAAAATTCGTAAACCCAAGTTATTTTACATACCTGTGTGTGTTTGTCCGTACGTGAATTCTGACTATGCGTGTCTAGCGCGTGTAAACGCCCATACACTGTGCCTTTTAACACGTTACTGCGTATGTGTAGTGGTGCTGATCCTTCTCTTCATTGCAGCACCAGTGGCGAGGTGATCCTGCTGCGGCCGCTGGACCGCGAGCACCGCGCCCAGTACGTGATGGAGGCGGCCGCCAGCGACCGCGGCACGCCCGCCAGGAACGCCACCGCCCAGGTGGTCATCCAGGTCACCGATGTCAACGACCACGAGCCCAAGTTCAACCAGTCCGAGTACACAGCCTCCGTGAGCGAACTGGCGCAGGTACGGGCTCGCCGCCGCAGTGGCTGACCACGCAGCGGTCCTAGCCGTGCTGACAGACCAGTTGCGCACCTTTTGTGTAGAGAGGACGTGAAAAACCGATGCTCAATGGCTGTGCAAATAATTGCTTGTTAAAACAATGTTCTCCTTGGTGAGATACTCAGACGAGTGGATAAATTCGGTAATATGCTGCTCTCACCAAGCTATTATACAGTGCTAATATGGTCTTCCGACGTGCTGACAGCGGTACTGTCATGCTGAAAGTGTCCATGAATATAAAGTCAACTGACACTTTTATGCAGAATATCAATGGCGTTACCGAAATGTCATCGCCGCTTTGTTGGAACGACGAGTTTCAAATTATTCGCGTCTGCAGTCTGTTTGGTTGCTGGCATTGGCATTGGCAAGGTCTTGCTGGCTAGTTGCATATTCTTCAAAGAGTCCCTTCTCCTGCATATCTACTCGTACGGATCACGCATGTGGTAGCTTTGCCACGCGGAAAGCTTGCATTGTGCCCGCCTTTGCAACATGCGTCTCAGCGCCGTGGTTCCGACGAGTGTATGGCGACCGTCGCGGACGGGCGCTGGCACGCGCGGCTGACCGCGTGACCTCCCGTGTGACCCGTGTGACCTCCCCGCCGCAGGTGGGCTCGGCCGTGCTACAGGTGCACGCCACGGACCGCGACGCCGGCCAGAACTCGGCCGTCGTATACGACATCACGTCGGCAACGACCACGAGGTGTTCCAGCTGGACCGCGACACGGGCCTGATCCGGCTGCGCAAGCGGCTCGACTTCGACCGGCTGGCCGAGTACCGGTTCATCGTGCGCGCCACCGACCGCGACCGTGCGCACCCGCTCTCAGCGCTCGCCACCGTGCGCGTGCGCGTGCTGGACGAGAACGACAACGCGCCCAGCTTCCCGCAGCCGGTGTACTACGCGTTCGCCACGGAGAACGAGCCGGCCGGCCGGCCCGTGTTCACGGCGCACGCCAACGACGCCGACCGCGGCCGCTACGGCCGGCTCAACTACACGCTGACGGGCGGCGGGCGGCTGGTTCCGCGTCGACCCGGGCTCGGGCGTAGTCACATCGGCCGCCGTGTTCGACTACGAGGCGCGCGACGTGTACGCCTTCACGATCAGTGCTACCGATTCGGGCGGCCAGACGGCTACGGCGCAGGTTGCGCGTCACGGTGCGCGGCGTCGACGAGTTCGCGCCCGTGTTTGTGCGCTCGCAGTACCGACTGCGCGCGCCGGCCGACGGTCCGCCCGGCTACGTGGTGGGCCGCGTGGCGGCCACCGACCGCGACCGCGGCCCCGACGGCGTGGTGCTGTACCACCTGCGGACGCCGCACGGCTTCTTCCGCGTCAACAAGACGAGCGGTGAGATTGTGGTGACACGCAGTCTGGGCGAGCGGCGGCGGACACGGCGGGACCTGGCCAGCGAGCGGCTGGAGGTTGTGGCATCTAGCGGCCGGCCGGGCAGCTTGAGTGCGCTAGCCGGCGTTGAGGTGGTGCTGGACCCATCGCTGAACGGCACCGGGCTGCCGGCGGCGGGCGGCGGCGGCGGCGGCCTGGCCGACTGGGGCGTCGGCCTGCTGGTGGCCATGCTGTTGATCGTGATGGCGTTCGGTGCCGCCTTCGTCTTCTTGCACATGCGCAACCGTCGCGTAAGCAAACCGACGATGGCCGAGCACCTGGACTCGTCGTTCGACACGGACCTGCGTGCGGCGGCGCCGGCGGCCGGCCTGCACTACCCGCCGCGCTACAGCGAGATCGGCCATCCGTTCGGCGCGGCCGGCCGGCCAGCAGGCCGCAACACGACGTCCGAGCTGTCAGAACAGTCGCACCGCTCCGCCTCGAGCGGGCGCGGCTCGGCCGAGGACGGCGACGAGGACGAGGAGATTCGCATGATCAACGAGGGCCCGCTGATGCAGCAGAAGCTGCGCCAGCTGGCCGTGCCCGACTCGCGGCTGCACGACAGCGACAGCGTGTCGGAGGCGAGTGCGCAGAACACGCAGGAGTACCTGGCGCGGCTGGGGATCGACACGACGCGCGCCGACTCGCACAAGGGCTCGCAGAGCCTGCGCGCCGACAGCGTGCACCTGCTGGATGGGCCGGGCGGCGCGGCCGAGGGCGGCGTCAGCCTCGGCGAGCTGATCTCGTCCAAGCTGACGGCGGTGGGCGCCGAGGAGGACGAGGCCATCATGGACGGCACGCGCGCCTTCGGCCTGGACGAGACGCAGCCGTCGATGACGGGCTCGCTCAGCTCGATCGTGCACAGCGAGGAGGAGTTGACCGGCAGCTACAACTGGGACTACCTGCTCAACTGGGGGCCACAGTACCAGCCGCTGGCGCACGTTGTTCTCCGAGATCGCGCGGCTCAAGGACGACAGCGCGCCCAGCCCGTACGCGGTGAGCGCGGCCAAGCGGCCGCCGCCGCTGCTGACGAGTGTGGCGCCGCGCTCGGTGGCGGCGCCGCTGCCGCCCCGTTCTAGTCTCGGACTCGTGTCGATGCCGTCGCTGCCGCGCTCGCCCATCTCGCAGGAGGCGTTCGCGGCGCAGGGCCATGTCGCCGTCGTTCTCGCCGGCGCTCTCGCCGCTCGACACGCGCTCGCCGTCCATGTCACCGCACGTGCCGCGTGGCCTGGCGGCGGCGGCGGCGGCGGCGGCGCACCGGCGCTCCCACCTGCTGGCCGGTGCCTCCTCCAGCTCCGAGAGTGAGCTCAGGTTGTAGCGCGCGCCGGCCGCGCGCGCGTGCCATAGCCGAGTGGGCGGGCGGCGCACGCCGCGGTGCACAGCGCCGCTCGTCGCCGCCCGTGCGCCGCTCGTCGCCGCCCACATGCCGCTCGTGTCCTCATGTGATATAGGTTTAGGTGGAGAGCGCTTCCCGCGAGCGTGTTGTGTGCCAAATGAAGAGCACTTCTGACAGTGAGACTCTGTTGTTCTGTTATGCGTCGCCGCTGCATGAGTGAATGACATCAACTGTGCTTGTGTTGCGAAGTGTCCATTTTTTCATAATTGTATTTGTCCTGCAGTAATATATCAACCGATGTGTGCCAAGCCCACATAAACATTTTGAAACGTTTTTGAGCTGAAGGGATATGTCAGGCTACTCGCCCTTTCTGATGGTACATGAATTATGATTGCTAATGTAGTATACAGCACGAATGACCGAAGGCCACGGAGGCCAGGAAACGAGTTCA